GCATTTGGGTCCAGCCAAACCCCTCAAACCCTGTGACAGTTGTGACACACAACGAAACAGAACGGAGCCAGGGGAGGTTACATCCTTAAAGTAACAAAAGTTATGTCTTTGTACAAAAGAATATCTGCTTCATTGATTGTCCTCGTTTGTTCTGCACAAGTAAGAAAAGTATAAAAGCCCTTGGTATATTGAGGTCCTTTACAAAATCAGGCCTTACTGTTGACACATACGACAGCTGAGCAAACCAGTTCTCGTTAAAGGAGTCCATTTGAGTTCTTAGTGCCAATGTGATTCTTTCCATAGTATAGATATATTGTGCACCAAGTCAATCCATTCATTTACAGTTGGTGTATCCTTCTTAAGCCATTTTCTAGTCAAAGCCTTTTTACCTGCAACCAACAACCCTCTCATCAGACACCCCCCCACAGCCCCCCCCCCCCCCCCTCCAGATCACAAAGATACAATATTTTGAAATCAAAATTAATTTTCAACCCGAAAACTACCTCTAGGATGCCGTGTATATTTCTCCAAAATTCTGTCAGAGTATTTACACTTTTGAGCTGGGGTACTGAAGAAACGAATCATATTTTTCCAGCTAAAGATTCTCCAGGAGGGAGAGCTTGTTATCTGCCATCGCTGTTTGCAGATCCTGTCCCATTCTTCCTCTGTTACTATGAGACTGCCCTCTTCCAAGGTGTGTTCCCCCTTTAAATCTTGAAGTACTGAATATAGCTTAGAGATAATTTAATGATAAGTAGTGTGTGACACAAAGTAACTGTTTTAACTGGATTATATCTCCCGTCCTTCTCGTCAGACGTGAGTTACTGTCGCAACTTCAGGTTCCATGTGTTACATGCAACAGACATATTTCAGATGTCTGATGCATCATTACATTTCCCAATATGGACTACATTTATGTAACAGTTTTATCCAAAGTGTTTTACATTTGCCTTTCATTCTCCCATTGAGACACACACACTCACAATCACACACTGATGGCCAAACCATTAGAACAACTTTACCAACCGACCTGCTCGACTTTCCTGAGCCACTGTCGCCCCGTTGTGTATGAATCTGTCTGCAGGTACGATTTCAAATAGAAGTGGGTTACTTGCCTTTGAGAAAATAGTATGATTGTGATGATGAATGAGTCGGAACAACATGTCTGAACATTTCATGCATTATATTCATTTCTTATTTCATCCCACTTGGGGGCAGTCGAGGTCTATCATTTCTATTTTTTGTCAGGACTTACAGCAACTGGTTCAGCAGACTGAGGCGTTACAGTGAAAATGGTGAAAATGCCTCAGATAAGCACTTGGGGTGCTGTCGCTCTTCCTAACGCTCTTCATCACAACTCTATTTTAAGTGAATGATGTCGCCCTCCCTCCATGCTGCTGGAAGCTCCTGACATCATGAGACTCTGGCTGACCTGGAGTAACCTCTGAGTCACTGTTAAACGGTCTATTTGTGGGAAAAGTGCAAGTTTGTAGTGAGAGAGACTGTAACTGAAATTCACCTGCTTCCAGTTTTCTTTCCCTGTTGAAAAGTCTGCAACCAGGACGATGAAGTCTTTGTATTTCAAACCTTCTGCTAATATACAGTATGCAGATCTTATGCAACATGTCCGGGGACTCGTGCAATCACAAATAAATCAGTGTAATTGAACTCTTTGTCGGTGTGTCAGCTCTGTTTTCAGTGGGTTCTGCTGTGCACTCACGTGGCCTTGTAGGTGTCACATCTCTTCGGCTATATGACAGCGGTTTCCTGTCGACGTACGCACATCACGAGAGCTCCTGGAACAAAAAAAACCTTTACTGGTCAAAGCGGTGAATACACCGCTACATAACAACACCGCCGATAACCACCTCTCTACCCACTTCTCTACCCACTTCTCTACCCACTGTGGTTAGTGTCAGGGGTCATCTTCAGCACTGTTGTTCTGCTTTCTCTCACTAGATGTCAGTCAAGAGCAATGATTCCAGCCTTTGCTGAGACTTCTGAGAATCCCCTAAACTTTTCTTTTTTTTTTTACCAAACTGCCAGGCTGACAGCTTCCAGGAAATCACATGGTTGCTGGTAAAAGTGCCCATTACAACCAACTGGGGTGCTGTTGCACCGCCCTTTAAGGCTTTATCACAGTTCAGGGTTGTTGTGGGTTTTTTTTGTTTTGTGTTTTTAGAGCTGACAGGAGATCAGTTCCTGTTCACACAGTTTTTGTTCTCTCAACTCAAAAACAGACATCAGATCAGCCCTCCATGATTTTGCTTGTTCATGAGCCGGTATTTCCCTCCACTGATCATGCGGTGTGTGTTCGATTGGAAGTGTGTTTTTGGGGGGAATCACACATTAACTGCTTGATGCCTCAGAGGTCGTCCTCTGCTGTATTAGATGGTGCCAGTGCCACACTCCCCCAGGGGAAGTCAGGGGATTCACAGTGTAACTGGGACTTTACCTGACTATAAAACAATACAAGTGTGACTGCACAGTGGAGGTCTGTGGTTTCTATTACCTCAAATAAAACAGTATAGTATCATGTGACTTATCAGAATCACTTTATTTTCCAAAATCAACATTTGCACATGTTTTTTGTTGTGGTTTTTTTCTTCAGGCTTTATAATACAGTATGTTTCCCTTTCTATTCTACTCTATTCTATCCACTCAGTTTCCAAATGTCTGTCAAACAAAATGTGATGATGTGAGGAGAAGCTCCAGCTGTGTCATCTTTGTTCTGCTTTATGCTGCATCAGTTCATCTATTGCTTTTAGTTCAGAGAGGAGAAGAGAAGCGAGATTTATGTTACAGTGAAGCTACCGACTCTTTCTCTTTCTGTAGTGACTCAGTTAGTTTCTGGAACAAGCAGGATCTGTACAGTTACAATAATCCTCTGTAGAGTGGAATTAACATCTGCAGGATGCCTGACCCCTCCGCATTAGTTTGAAATAATCTATTAAGGCCTGATAGAAGGAAAAGATCGATTGAAAGGAAACAAATTTACTGCAAAAGTCTCTGTCAGCAGCCACTCGTGCCTCAGTGTCTCAGGGTTTCATGTGACAAGCTGTGTGGCAGATGCTGGTGTATCATATCAAACACGGCACAGAAACAACTGCTGAAAAAAAAAGAAAGAAATCAGCCAAAAAAAACCCAAAAGCTATGTAAGCATCAAAACCAAAAGACTTTCAGTCACAGGAGCTTGGGCTGGGCTGGGCTGTGGTGCAGATGAGTCAGGCTGCTGTTTTGCACGCGACACAGTTAAGAAAGAAAGTGAAAGATGAAAGGAGAAGGGGCATTCCAGCTCGCCAGCCTGGTGAGATGGTACGTTGCAGAACTGGTTATGCAAACAGTTCTCGGCACACACACAAACAAAGACACAAACACATGTACAGCGTGTAAAGCTGCACACTTATAGGTTTTGAGGACGACTCCCTTCTGTTACATCACGGTGATACATAAAAGCCACAGGTTCACTTCATCATCTCTTATTTGCCCCAATCCCCCCCACCACCCCCACCTCACCTCACCCCACGTCGTCTGTTCACCCTGTCGGACATTTTGTGCTCAGGTTTAGCCTAAGATGGCTGCTGCTTTGCATCTCCGCGTTCAACCCTACCGCCTTCCTAACACACACACACACACAACTGCTGATGGGAAACAGCCATTTCTTTTTACCGATGAGTCACTTTGCCTGATGTGAACTTCATGTCTTCAGGTTTTTAAGAACAAAGACAAATAGCACCAAATATTTTATCAGTTCATCCAGGGGGGTTTCAAAAAAAAAAGGTTTTAATAAGCACCAACAGGAAACAGAAGATGTTCCCACCCACAGAGGAGCACGTGCTCCTTCGGTTAACGTTAAAACGTGAAACTTAAGTTCATCTGAAGTTAGGGGACATTTGGATACTAGCAGCAACATGTGCCGTACGATCCAAATAGCACTGTGGGCTGTGCAAGCAAAGGTTATGTAGAGACATGAACTTGACGTGTTTAAAATGTCTTGAAAAACAACACACGAAGCCGTTTGAGTGTAACGTGTGTGAATTACGATACTTCTACTCCTACTTTCTCCAGGAGAAACACACGTCTGACCCGCCTGAGGCACCTGACTTTAACCGCCATTTTGTGGATGCCCAGAAGTCTTGACAAAATGGGCGACAATGTGTTGCCTAAACTGAGCCCGATCTGCGCCGATAGAGGGGGTTGGTGTTTTGACAGAGTCACATCACTTCACTGCACCTTCGGTGTTTGTGGTACGTCACCAGGCAACTTTCCAAAAAGCCTCACAGCCAGAGAGGGAAAAAAAAAAAAAACATTGTTGGTTGCCAGGGACTTTCCAGGTCAGCTCAGACAATAAAACCCAACCCCGGCTGTGTTTTAGTGCACTGCATCAAAATGCAGTCAGGTGGCTTATAACCAGAAATACAATGGACACAACAGGCTGTGATATGTGATCAGATAAACCAAAACGCCTCAGACGACTAACCAGTTTAACTCATTCATAATCGCCATTCTCAGCAACACTTGAACCGTTTCATTTCAGTCGTGTTTTTAATTGTTTCTCTTCCTTTCATCTCATAGTACCACAGAGCTCTGTACTCTGGATTTTGGAGCAGTATTTTTTCTCTGCATCAGTGTAGTGGTGTTTAGAAAAGGCTTCCCTGACCATCCCATCTACTTTCTTACACTGTGTCAAACAAGTCTGATTGCACGTTGGCTGAAGCCCTCATTCTCCACGTTTATTCACTTTTTAACTTTTATGTGTGAATGTATTTGGTGAAAGGACTTTATAAATATGCGTCACGAGGCATGAAAAATACAAAGGACACATTCAGGTAAAGTTTGACTGATGTGCCGGCAGGAGTCACGTGACGATGACGACTGACTATGATCCAAAATGTTATGATACTGTTGATCAATGTTTTATTCGGGACAGTGATATAAAGCAAACCTTTGGCCACTCTGATCATAAATGAACGTTTATGATGTCGGCTGAGGGTGTCATGTCAAACTTTTATTCACATTTACCAAATACAAGAACACGAAATGGAAAATTTACATTCAAATTCACTCATACATTTAATTTGATTAATCAATAATACAAAATAATACTATAAATACTACTGACAGAGTTGTGAAGGTGCTTTTTTTTAAATACAGAGAACTTCTAAAAAAAAATGAGAATTAATTTTCACTATTTATACAAAACAGTCTGAATTTTAATATTTACATCAATTCCTGCATCAGGTCAGCTGCTGCTGGTCCTGCTGTCAAACACAAGCAGCTCTGTCACAACACACGTCGAGCTACATCATGCGCACAGTGACAGTAGTCTGTCACTGCGGCGAGTTTCCCTCAGTGAAGCGCTTCTCTACCAGTTTGTAGTAGCTCCCCTTCATGTCCATCAGCTCCCGGTGAGTCCCTCGCTCCTCAACTTTGCCACCACTGATCACAACGATCTGATCCGCCCTCTCTATGGTCTTCAGCCTGTGGGCGATCACCAGAAGGGTCTGGTTGGGACAACTGGCCAGCGCCTGCTGGACCTGTGCACAGGCGATGACAGAAGTATTTATTATTTCATAATTAGGGGTCCACATGGTATGTCTCTGTTTCTACAGGATGTCGGAGGAAACGGTTCGATTGTTTTATTGGTACAATGAGGGGATGTGTAAAAGAATAAAAAAAATAAAAACAACATATTACATAATGCTGTGCAGTTTTGCACTTCAGAAACTACATTCAAAAACATCTTAACTGTAGTACTGATCAGGGAAAGTTATAGATAATAGATATTTATTGAGAATCAGTATGATTGTTTTTTTCTCAGTGAGCACACAGGACATGCATGTTCAATCAACTGAGACCAAAAAACATGCTAACTGTGTCCCATGGATTAGACGACATTCCTTCAAGATTGTTTGTTATGACTAAGTTTCCTTTTCCACTGAGACCTGAAAGACACTTGACCCACATGTCTCACAGACCCACTTTACCTTATGCTGCACATTCTGCAGTGCAACAATCCCACCTGTAGGCCTGTGTCGTACACTATCAGTGATGACATGTAAATAGTTTAGAGCTGGTTGGACACATAAACACATGGATCTGAATTTTTTTGAGGCAAATTACATTTTTTGTTGAAAGTTTAGCTGTTTTTTTTTTCAACTCTGAGCACTTAAAACATACGAGAATGTGATTTCTGTCAATCGTGTCTTATCATCCTGCTAGGAATTAGAAACCTAGAGGCTTCTGGCCTGGGAGGCGCGTGACTGGACACCACAGTGATAGAAGTTGTGACATACTCTACCTTGTTTTCACTCTCAGTGTCCAGAGAGCTGGTTATTTCGTCCAGGATGAGGACGCTCGGCTGTCTGACCAGAGCTCGAGCAACGGCGATCCGCTGCTTCTCGCTCTTGGATAACTGGCCGCCTCCCTCACCCACCTCTGAGAAATGGACAATATTATAAAATCAGAACAGACTGATATTAAAGGTTCAAAATTGAAAAAACAACCAAACATAGGGATTTTAAAACTCAAATACTAGTATAATAACTAGTATAAAGCCCCAAAACTGTTTGTATATTTAGCCTTTATTATGCACAAACAGCATTGATCTGAAATAATGATGTTGATTAAAATTGGGTTTAAAGAAAACAAATAAAAAGTTGACAAAAGTTCAAAGTTAAACAGCACGAGGGGCAGTTAGAACAGTTTACCCGTATCGTAGCCTTTCTCCAGCTGCTTGATGAAGTCATGGGCGTTGGCTTTGCGTGCCGCCTCCTGGATCTCATCCAAGGAGCAGTCAGCAAGCCCGTAGGCGATGTTGTCTCTGATGGAGCCAGAGAAGAGAACGGGATCCTGGCTCACCACTGCGACCTGTTAAACACACGCTCATCAGCTTGACTGAATGAATAACAATAACGTTTTAAAAAGTAAAATTTACACTAAGTTCTTTCTTTTCTCAAAATTTCTCAAAAGTTTGAATGTGATTTTATTTAATTTTGTTGTGGCACCTGCCAAATGCTAAAATTTAATCTCTGCTGATTCTTGATGATCCAAACACTCAACACTAATTTTGGAAGGAAATACGGGGCTTTGTGGGCGCTATTGGACGACTGCTTAGCGCTCTCTGCGTCTTTCAGAACAGGGTTCTTGTAAAGTTGTTGAATGCTGATGTTGTATTTGAAAATATAAAACAATGAAAACACAAATTCTTAAAGACAGGAGCTCTATCTCCATGAGAAAAAGCACCAATGAGTAATGACCTTCTTGTGGAGGTAACGGTGGTCATAGGACTTCAGTGGTTCATTGTCCAATAGGATTCGTCCATCCTGCGGCTCGTAGAATCGCTGCAGCAGACTCACACAGGTGCTTTTTCCTTCTCCAGACGGACCCACCAGCGCCGTCATCTGACCCGGCTTCAGCTCCAAAGAGAAATCCTGAATGAAGGAGAGTACAATGTTTGTAATAACACAGTGCAACTGGAATATTTCACATTTATCCAGAGGAAACCAGGAGAAAAATTTAACACACTGAACATTGTTGATATTGAGTTTGCGTCGTTGTAATGGATCCATAGTTTACTTTACATACATTTTTAGGAAACTTAAATACTTTAAATACTTAATACTAGTGACTTTCTAGTTTCAAAGTGTTTTTTTCCCTTATTTATTTCACTTTATTTAATGAACTGTCTGAACTGAAATCTACCTGGTGTTGAGATCTCACCTTCAGCACTGTTTTGTTGGGGTTCGCAGGATAGGCAAAGTTGAGACGGTGGAAGGTGACGCATCCTCTCAGCTGATCAGGTTGGAGCTTCCCCTCTGTGCTGACTTGTGGTTTCCGGTCCAGGTACTCAAACACTTTCCCAGCAGCCCCCACCGAGTTCAGCATGTCACCGAAGATGTAGGTGAGCGTCTGGAAGATAGCAGTCATAGGACAGGGTTGGTAAAGTCATTACTTAATAACATATGTTTACAGAATGCTTAGAGTCAGAGTCGCAGTATGTTAAATACAAATAAATTTGCAAGCAATTATATGCTGAGAATAGCTTAGATATGTGTGGTTAAACATGTTTAAAAGTTATGAGCTGTCCAGAGCTCTTAGGTCATCTGGTACTGGTCTGTTTGCTGTTNTGCAGGATAGGCAAAGTTGAGACAGTGGAAGTTGACGCGTCCTCTCAACTGATCAGGTTGGAGCTTCCCCTCTGTGCTGATTTGTGGTTTCCGGTCCAGGTACTCAAACACTTTCCCAGCAGCTCCCACCGAGTTCAGCATGTCACCGAAGATGTAGGTGAGCGTCTGGAAGATAGCAGTCATAGGACAGGGTTGGTAAAATCATTACTTAATAACATATGTTTACAGAATGCTTAGAGTCAGAGTCGCAGTATGTTAAATACAAATAAATTTGCAAGCAATTATATGCTGAGAATAGCTTAGATATGTGTGGTTAAACATGTTTAAAAGTTATGAGCTGTCCAGAGCTCTTAGGTCATCTGGTACTGGTCTGTTTGCTGTTCAAAGTTTGGTTAAACTGCCTTTAAGTTTTATGCTCCAAAGTCTTCCTGTGGACACGAGACCTCGTACTCATTTAAACGCAACCTCAAAACATTTTTAGTAAAGCTTATGTGTATGCTCATTTTAACTAAGCAGTTGCTAAAGGAGCTATTTGTACATTTTGCTGTTGCTACATAGCCAACATTAGCATTGAGAGCATTAAGAGTTCAGCATCAAACTTCTGTCTGTCTCACACAGTGGGAAGCAACTCCCTTGTTTTGCTCTATTACTATCACTGCTAACCAGTTAGCTCCAGCATGTCAAGTCACTTTCCAATACCGAGTCACTGTAGTGTCCAGACTGCCCTGAAGAAGTAGCACTGCTTCTAACCTCT